AAATGCTAATGAAGTGACTCTCAGAGCAGCTGGAGATGACATTCGTGTTCATATCATCATATCGTGAGACGGCAGAAGCTGAAAACACCGCGAGTGTCATCCGCGCTTTAGTATGTGTGTAGTAAACAAAACAGTGCGCCGCGCCATCCGCCATTCATTCATTCATTGCGGAAATCATGGCGCCTTATGCGTGATATCAGATGCTTCCGCAGATTACTTTAGCATTTCACCTGAGCATTGCGAATCACGCGTATGGCCATGATGAGCGCTGAATGAATGACAGGCTTTCTGTTGTAACATCGCGCAAGGTAAATAAGGGTGACATCTAGTGGAGAAGACTAATGATAAGATTCACGTTAATCAGATCTTGTTTTAAATATGTGCTGAAATAAATACTGGAAAAGATTGATTCGCGGCTTTTGAGAATCGATATCGAATCGACATCATTTTAAAAAACGATGAATCGAAAAATTATAACTTGTTTTTATTTTTATACTTTGCGTTTCATTTTAATTTTAATTAAAGTTTTAGTAACTCGTTTTTATTTTTATATTTTCTGTTTTTATTTTAGCGAGTTTTCGCCATGTTTATTTTATTTATTTATTTATTTTAAATATATCTGTATTTTTTTCCTAAGTTTATTTCAAGTAAAAAAATTTTTTTTTTTTTATGATTTTAGTTTTAGTTAACTAGAAAGTGAATATGAAGGGACACAAACATTTAAGTGCACTAGATCGATTTCACTCTAGAAATAACTGAAATGTCCGTGTTTGACACCTGGCTGATGTTGACGAGCGGCTCTTCATCCTGAACCAGCATCTGAGCGAACTGAAGGCCCTGATCAGGACCGGATCTCATCACACTCCTCAACAGCATCACCCAGTCTGGAGAATACCCCATCTGCCCCGAAAACAACACGTCAATCACAGCAGAGCAGAGACACAGATGAGGGCAGAATAGAGTCTTTGAAGGGAACGCCGGTACCTTCTTAGCATAGAGCACTATCTTCTGGAACTGAGCCGTCTCAGCAAAGCACTGGATGACTTTAGCAGGAACATTCGCTCGCAGGTAAACGCTGAGGGCCAGAGTGACGTCAGCCGCCTTCACCAGATCACCCAACTCCTCCGAGCACTCCAGCTGCAGGGCATCATGGGAAAAAGATCACTAACCAGACGGCAATCCAACACTCAAGAGTCACTTTCAGTGTTGTTATTGTTGTCTAATACTTCAACTACTTGAAATTACTAACTGAAATAAAGCTCAAAAAATACATATAAATATTAGACGAAAAACTTCATCTTAATATAACTTAATGTTGCCTAAATTTTGCCTTGACAACTGAATGAAATAAACGAGTTTCGGTTGGAACACTAAAACTAAGATAAAAATCTATATAGAAATTAAAAATAAATAAATAAAAAACTACTATAAATTTAAAAAGTACACAACAAAATGAGTAAAACCTAAAAATTAAAATTAAAAACAAAATTTTAATGAAAACTGAAAATGTTAAATAAAAAGCTAATTCAAAAAAATTTATAAATACTATAATAGACAGGGCAACAATCCAACCCTCAAAAGTCATTGTTAACTAATACTAAAACGGCAATGAAATCAAGCTGAAATCAAATAAAAATATATTAGGTAAGATTTGAATGAAAATATTAGATGAAAAATTGAAACTTAAACTTAAATGAAAACGTCGCCTTGGCAACTAAATGAAGTTTCAGCTGAAGCACTAAAATTACTAGAACTAAAACTGAGATCGATATATATATAAAATCTATATAGAAATTAAAAATAAATAAAAACAAATAAATACAAAATGACTGAAACTTAAAATACTTTAACTATAAACTATAATAAATATATAAATATATACTATATATAAAATACTAATATATAAAACTACAATAAATACTTAATAATAAAATAAATGCTATAAAACTATTCAAATTATGCTAAAATAACTTAAGTGTTATAAACCATGGCCAATCAAGTGCATACTTCATGCATAAAAATACAATTCTTCTCAAAATATTAGAGATGCATTTGATTAGCCAACGTCCTTTTTAAACAGAGAAAAAAAATTTAATAGAAAAGATAATGTCAACTGATCATTCCTTTATTGACAAATTATGCACAACAATTTAAATTTGTGACCCTGGAGCACAAAACCAGTCATAAGGGTCAATTGTTTGAAATTGAGATTTATACGTGATCTGAAAGCTGAATAACTAAGCTTTCCAGTGATGTATGGTTTGTTAGGATCGGACAATATTTGGCCGAGATACAACTATTTGAAAATCTGGAATCTGAGGGTGCAAAAAAAAAATCAACAATAGAGTTGTCCAAATGAAGTTCTTAGCAATGCATATTACTAATCAAAAATTTAGTTATATATTTACGGTAGGAAATTTACTAAATATCTTCATGGAACATGATCTTTACTTAATATCCTAATGATTTTTGGCATAAAAGAGAAATGTATAATTGTGACCCATACAATGTATTGTTGGCTATTGCTGCAAATATCCCCCAGCGACTTAACACTGCTTTTGTGCTCCAGGGTCACATTTCACTTCAAAACTTTAAGCCGAAGATAACACTCGTAAAAAATACTGTTTACACATTACATATTTTAAGTCATTTAAAAAAATATATAATTTAATTAAAAACTTCAAATGTATTATCTGTGGTGGGTGGGTCGTTTTGTTTAATCTGTCAAAAAATGTCGTCTAAACTTAACTTTTATTTTCCATGCTGTATAAATGCACAGATAAACTGAAAGAAATGAATGAGTTGATAAGTAATACATGGGAAAGAGTAATGAATATGGCACCTTCTCTCCCTTGAGCCATTTCTCCAGCAGCTGTGTTCGTCCCTGCTGCAGCACCGGCCTGCAGAGCTCCAACGACTCCAGCTTATTGAGCTGCCCGCGGTCCAGCAGAACCCCGAAATACTGCAGCAGCGGAGACGGCTGGCCCCCCTGCGCCGGGACGGCCTGGAACCGCCGGACCGTCTCTGCCGTTCGCAACACACCCTGAGAATCAGAGAAAAAGAAGGGAGTGAAGCCTGTGTTTATGCTATTAAGACAGTATAGGCTAATCTATGTACATTACTACAATATATGTACATTAACTGACAGTCACCACTGATAAGCTACTACTAAATATTGTAGAAACTTAATTTTCTGTAAAGTTGCTTTGCAACGATTTGTATCGTAAAAAGCGCGATACAAATAAACTTGAATTGAATTGAACTGAATTAATCTGGCCAAAGAAGAACTTGTGTTATAATGAAATGTTCATTTAAAAGCAGCCGGACAGTGATTCAGTGTGGACTCTGAGCTGTGTGTGTGTGTGTGTGTGCGAGAGTGAGTGTGTGTGTGTGTGTGTGTGTGTGTGAGCGCGTGCGTGTGTGTGTGTGTGTGTGTGTGAGCGTGTGTGTGTGTGTGAGTGTATGTGTGTATGCGTGTGAGCGTGTGTGTGTGAGTGTGTGTGTGTGTGTGTGTGTGAGCGTGTGTGTGAGTGTGTGTGTGTGAGCGTGTGTGTGTGTGTGAGTGTATGTGTGTATGCGTGTGAGCGTGTGTGTGTGAGTGTGTGTGTGTGTTTGATTTTGTGTGTGTGTAAGCGTGTGTGTCTGTGTTTAAGCGTGTGTGTGTGTGTGTGTGTGTGTGTGAGCGTGTGTGTGTGTGTGTGTGAGAGAGAGAGAGAGAGTGTGTGTGTGTGTGTGTGTATGAGTGTGAGAGTGTGAGAAGTGAGAGAGTGTCTGTGTGTGTGTGTGTGTGTGTGTGTGTGTGAGAGTGTGAGTGTGTGTGTTGTCAGGAACCTTGGGAGCCGACGCAGCGACTTTAGCCGCTTCGGTGTAGCTGCCCTGAGAGAAGAGCGTGTTGAACTTGTGTGTCAGGAGCTCCTCGGCTCCGGGAAGATCGCTGCGTAATGCCAAACGCAACGCCAGCTCGGGATTCTGCAGCACGTTAGTCACGTAATTTACTACGTTCTCCTCCTCCACACACACCGACAGCACCTAAACACACACACACACACACACACACACACATTAGTGACACACTTGGAGTAACTGAACACGCACAGAGAAGAAAAGAGGATATCCTTGAAAACTGAAACTTTTGGACAGATTGGGCTGAAAATCTAAACCAATTGTTATTTTAAAAACTTTTTTTTTTATAATAATAATAATAATAATACAATTTAATCTTATATATTTGCTTATTTATGATTATAATTTCATTATAATTATAACTTTGGAATACTTTATTCTGATTGGTGAATTGTTTTTTTTAAAGCTGTTTTTTAAATTATTGTATTTGATTATTATATTTATATAGTTTTAAGTATTATTTTATATTTAGTTATATATTTATTTTATTTAGACCGACCGACTGACCGACCGACTTTTTATAATTATATGGCAGCGCAAAACAATCAATGTATTATGATGACCATAAACAGAATGCTAACTATAGGTATAATAAACAAAAGATGTAGCTTATAATAAGAGACAACCCCAGTTCAGTTCTTGATTAAGATGTATGTGTTCATGCATCAGTAAAGGACATAAAATGCACAATGCTGGACACCAGAAGCAATTTTGAGCGTGTTAAAGCATGCATTCTCTTAATGCTTTTGTCCTATTTACTTGTGCAAGCCACAGTTTTCAGTGTTGTGTGTACAGATGTGTGTACCTGTCCTTTCTTATTGACCCCGATGACCCCAGATGTGCTCTCGTGAGCAGCCGTGACGAATATGGTTTCAGCGCTGATGCGGTTCATGTAAATACACACGCCCGACTCCAGATCATACATGTGAAAGTAACCGTATTTAGTGATGAGGTAGATGACGCCGTGCTTAGTTCCGATCTGAGAGAGAAAACACAGGAGTGAACATAATTCAACCTGTGAGCAGTAACTCTTCTGTCATCAGGTAATAGAGTGCATCAGTGCCAGTACTTTTACTGGAAGTATTTTTACCATTCATTTTTCCCATAGGGACTTTTAAAAGAGTCTACATTAAAGCTTTATAAGATATGAACCAAACCAAACAGCTACAAGGAGTATCACAACACTATAAAGTATAAACGTTTTTGAAAATTGGACAGATAGACAAAGATAATGTGAACTTAACTACTTAAATGAGAGAAAGAACTACAATCCCATGAAGCATTGCGAAAGACCAGTGCAGGGTAGTAACTGATTACATGTAATCTGGATCACATACAGTAATCAGATTCCAAAAATTAAGTACTTGTAATTAGATTATATTACATTTTAAAATGCTCATAATCAGTTTACAGTTACTTTTTATGGTTACATGATTATATGCAAATTATTCATAATTTATTGATTTTCCCTAATTCTTCTTTTTTTTCTCTCTTTTAAAGTTTCCTTTCTAAAATGTATTAACTATAGACGTGTGATGCCACCGCTGTTTTATTAATATTTGTTCATTTGGATTCCCAAAACTTTTTTTCTTCAGCCAAACCACTTTGACATAAAACATTTAGTTGAAATATCCCTGAGGAAATTAATATTTCAATAATTTAGCGAGACATTTGCATGCTCACAGTTTTCTGATGTAGGTTAATGGTCAAATAAACCTAGTGTTTTATTTAGTTTTTTATATATAATTTTATTTTACAATTTTATGAGTGCATTAAATATGAACTCTCAAACCCACTGCCCGTTTAATGGACATTAATTCATAGCGAAAATAAGTAACCTAGACTATGTTACTAACTACAATTTTCATCATGTAATCAGTAACGGACAACAATTTGAAAGTAATCTACCCAGCACTGAATAACATAATTGAATTAAATACGACAGAGAAATATAAAACTACTAATGTAAAGTTGTTGGTTGTATTTATAGATACTATATATTTTACGTTTACTGACAAATATGCATATATATACAAATATTTAAGTATTTTGAGAGCATGGGGACCCCAGCTCGATTACATCATGATGTTTCATGGGAGGGGGGCGGAGCTAAAGATATCTTTTGGTGCACTTTGCGAGCTGCAACTCTCTGATTGGTGGAATTTCTGTACAGCATCATGGGTAATGTAGTTTTTACCATGAATTCTGCTATTACAGTTTTTTTCAACTGCTTACACACAAAATCTTTACTTGTCACACAATTTCTGAAAGCTGACACTCAAACAGCAGAAGCACACACCAAATCTGCAAAACCATACACTAATACTCGGCCTTTGACTCAGTTTTCAATTTCATAAAACACTTTTTGCAAAACACAACACACAATTCTCTATGCAACACACACAAATCTAAGAGGAATTAATATTATGGCAAAGGTGTTTGCAAATGTTTGCTTTTGAGATGTGCTTGTGATATTTTGAATGCAGTGCTTCATTTTGCAAGAGATGTGCATTTTGCATTTTGTGTGTGCAATTCTTGGATTTGTGCGTAAAGTTTTGAAAAAAAGAGGCAAAGTTTTGAAAATGTGTCTAAGCAGGTGAACAAAAACTGTAAACATGATTATTTTACAAATAAGTTAATGTGAACAGATGGCTTCAGCAAAAGCACATACAAACGATTAACAACCTCTGAGATCACAACAGCTCTGTCTTTAAAGGTTTATCAGATTTTGTTAAAAATCAATTTCTCTATGGAGAAAATGAATGGAGTTTTTACTTCCGGAAGTGACTAATGTCTCTATAGCGTGGTAAAGGTTTGACCTGCATGGCCACAGGAAAGTCCGCCTGTGCTTCAGGAGGGAAAAACACGTCCACTGCTTTCTTAGTGAACGGCTGGTTACCGGTCTGAGGCTGACCGACCTCGATGATGTGCAGCTGGAGAAGACAAAAACCAGCTTTATACTCCAGAAAAACCACAGAAACACCGTATTAATGTGATGCCGTCTAATGCCACCTTTCCTCCAGCCTGCCCTCTGACGCCGAAGCAGAAGAGCGTGGAAGCGTTTGGGTTTCCCTCCAGTTTATAATGTCCAAACGCAGCCGCGTGACCCTCGATGGGCTGAGAAACCTTACGGTCCACAGAGAACAACTGCATGGCACCGACCACACGATTCTGCTGCAGGAGCCAGAGACCAAGAGAGAGTTACACACCAAACTGACATTCACAAACTAACACTTTTATTACAGTTATCAAGAGTCACAGTAAAGACATTTATAATGTTACAAAAGATACATAAATGCTGTTCTTTTGAACTTTCTGTTCATCAAAGAATCCTGGAAAATGAAATGTATCACAGTTTTCACAAAAATATGAACTGTGTTCAACATTGATAATAATCAGAAATGTTTCTCGAGCAGCAGATCAGCATATTATACTGATTTCTGAAGATCATGTGACACTGAAGACTGGAGGAATGATGCTGAAAATTCAGCTGCGCATCACAGAAATAAAATACATTTTAACAAATATCCACTTTTTTTAATAGTTTTGGGATTTTACATTTCTAAATAATTTTTTATTTCTAAATAGCTTCAATTTATTTTTATTTGTCATAATAATTTTTAAATAAAAATGAAAATAAAACAAAAAATAAAAATTACTAAAAACTAAATAATTGAATTGCAAGACATAAACTCAGAATTCTGATGAGGAAAAATATGAGAGATACATTTGGAATAGTAAGAAAGTCAGTCCAAATTGAAATCAAAGTCATAAAGTTCAGAGAATTTTCCCCGGACAATCATCACAGAAATTTGAAAAATGAGTTTAGAATCAGTGTAGTCGCCCCAATATATCATGCATCCCTACTTTAAAGAGCTGGTGCAGCAAAACCGAAAGATGAATTACCTTCACACACACACACACTCACACACACACTCACTCACACTCTCACACACACACACACACACACACCTGCGCTGATATCCCAATGAGCAGGAGCCACTTCTGCTGCTCGTCCGTTCTGTAGTTGATGATCTGGCATCCCGCGAGGCTGGCGTGACGATCAAACATATTGATTGGCTGAGAGTCTCCCTCCATGCTCCAATGATAGACGGCCGTGTCCGTAACCAGGGCGATGGTGTTAACCGAGATCCACCTCCAGAACAGCACTTCGTCCGTCATGGTGTGAGCCTTGACTTTACTCTTCATCTCCATGTTAAAGATCTGCAGCGTCCGCGCCGCTGCGGGACACACACCACACGCCACCTTTGACCTCACACACTCAACACTGAATCTGTAACATCAGTACTCCGATACTTTGATTACTTTCATTTAGTTGCATGCCTTAAAATGACCCAAAACAGCGTAGATTATTTATTTAATGTATTTACTAATAAACACAGTTAAAAAACATTACCATTAAATGCATCAAAAGGCTGAAAATGAAAGTTGTTTCAGAGAGAGAGCAAGTGATTACATTCTGATGAAAGATTATGAAGACAAACATCACTTTAGAACAACATGCACTGATGAATCATTCACATTTACACCAGAAATGTGAATTACAGAAGTAAATATTGATTTCATGTTGACTTTAAAAGTAATATTCCCCCACACTGAGTATCATTGTTGAAAATAAGAAATAATCTACTACTGTACATTAATTAATCATTATCATTAATCATGATGTAACATTTTTTGCAGGTATTCATCACAAAAACAGATGAGACAATAACTGTGTGCAGCACTGAAAACAGGCATCAGTGTTATTTTGGTATTAATTATATATTACAATATTTATTCATATTTTTAATTACTATTTTTTTTCTAATTTCTAAACAGTTATTTTTATTTCAATTTAGTTATAATCATTTTTGTATACTTTAGCTCATTTCAGTTAGTTTAGGTTTACATTTTTTAGGTAAGTTTTTCATTAAATTTAAATTTAAATTTAATTTAATTTAATTTATTTGATTTTACCATTTTAGAAAAAAATCTTTTAAATCTTCAAAATGTAAGATTATTATATAAAAATAAAATAAAATAAATTTTAAAAAAAAATTTAAACAAAAAAATCTATATCCAACACTTCATAAAAAATTCATAAAAATCAAAACATAAAATAATTTTAAAATAAAATGGATCAAAATAAAACTTACTAAAAATTAAAAAAATTAAAAGGAACAATTTTAAAATAAAATAAAATGCTTGCTAAAACTTGAATTGTAAACATTTTAAATTAAATAATTAAATGAATAAGAAAAGTTTTAAGAATATTAAAGAAATTCAGTTTTAGTTGATGATAACAAGACTGCTCTAGAGACAGACTGAGCCGGATCACATGATGCACATCTGATTACAGATAAAACATAATAAAGCACTGAATGTCTATAACGGGTTCCTAAACCCAGATGTGATGAAGAAAAGATCAAGAGCGGATGGATAAAGCTGGACGAGCAGGAATGATTCTCTGTAACTGAGCATGAGCGGACCGTATCAAACACGCATGGTTTACTTCCTCAAACGCATGATTCGGCTCAAATGTCTTTAACAAGTTACAATAATGCATTTTTACTGTGTAATCAAAATAAAACACTTACACACACATATACTCACTCTCTTTCACACACACACACACACATAATCACTCTCTCACACACACACACACACTCACTCACTCACACACACACACATAATCACTCTCACACACACACACACACACACACTCACTCACTCACACACACACACATA